TTTTTTTAATATTAAGATCATTCATTCTTATGATAAATTAAATTATTGTAGACTTGAATCATTTTTTATTTATGAATAAATCAATCCAATTGCTTATTGATTATATTTAACAAATTCTATGAAGATCCATCTTATATTACATGAGTCTCTTTTTGACCCATATAAGATAGTGAATATTTCATAAAAAAGAAAAAAAAAATTATCTCATATAAAAGTAGATAACAATAAAAGATTTGAGGTAGAAGAAGTCTTAGACTTAAGGCAGTGCCAACTTAGGTTAAAGAATCTTGTTTATTAGCATAGATATAATATTAGTGAATGCACATGAGAGCCAACAAAATCTTGTAAATGCAGCAAAAAAAGTCAAAGCTTTTCATCACTAACATCCATTAAAACTAAGATGAAGAATCAAATAAAACTTTGCTATAAAAGGAAGGATATTCAACAAAGATTGGATTCCATCTTTTATCCTTTATTATAATTTCTTTGTATTGGTGGCTCTAATAAGATGAAGAATCAATAGCTCATAGATTTAATTCAAGAGCTATTGTTTGCTAATTTATTAGATAAGGCATTATAATTGTCACAACCTTTAAAACAACTTAATAAAGATAAGAACTTTTAAAAAAAACATATTCTTCTTTGAATACATGGTGAGATATAATATGTTTGATATAGCAACCTTGGAAAAGACTCTCAATGTTTGGTGATTTCATTAAAAGTAGGAACAACTTTTAATGGTGTTACAAATATTTTTTTTAAAGGAAGTTATAAAGGCCTCAACAATAAACAAATATCATAGTGGTCTTTTTACCCTATAATGAGACATTATTGGTGGCTGAGAGGACTTATCAATTACCTTCCAAAAGAACAAAGTTTAGATTATGTTGCAAATATAATTTTTCAATATGTGATCACTACTCCTCGTGGAACTTGTTTCTAGAGAAGAAAATAATTTCATAGATATACATATTTATTCTAATAATAATTAGATAATATGAATAGATAAAAGTAGATAATATGAATAGGTATAAATAGATAAAAATAAATTAATTTGATAATAACTTATAAAAAAGCTTCTTAAAAACTTTATAGATATAATTTCATTTTCATATGTATCTATAAGTGATTAGTAGTTTGAACACTTGTCCAACAAGTTAGCTATATGTTACATTGTTTGCAGCTTGTGGTAGAAAGTAATCATGTAGCACACATATAAAAAATTTACATTACAAGTTAAGATATATATATATATATATATATATATATATATATATATATATTTCACAAATTGGATACATGTCAAAAGTCCTATAGAATATTATAATGTAACTCCTTATTAGATAGTATAGATGGAGCTAAGAGTAAATCCTTCTTTACTCTTGTCAATTCCTTTCTTGCCTTTACTATTTTCAAGGATGTCTAGTTTTTTATTTATTTTATTTTTTTAATTTTTTCATCTTTTGATAATAGCTATTCTATTTTTTTCTTGAATATACATATTTTTTTTATTTCTATTTTGACATCTTTCTTTGATACATATCTCACTTGTTAGCATATCTTCTTTGAGTTCTTATCCTTGACATACATAATATATCAATTTATTGTGTGATTTACCTATCTAAGGTTTTTATTACAGAATTACAATGCATTTGAAATATATAACTTCTTATTATTGTCTTCATTGTGCTTTAAAAAGTTTATTTTTAGTAATTTAATTTTTTTTCTCTTTCTTAAATTTGCACGTTTTAATGCCACATTGCACGAACTTGCCAATGCCATTGCAATTTAGATTAAAGATTTGAGTATTGGATTATGGATTATGAGACTTGTTTACATTGCATTCAATCATTATTAAGAATGCTGTGGCTAATAGCACATAAGACATAAATAAAACAACTTTGATAAAATAAGTATACATGACTTATCCAATTCCTTTGCTAATAATATTTATTGTGATACATTGCACCTTGATAATCTAATTTTTGGTTTTATATTCATATTGATATTGTCATCATTGAATAATAATAAAATTTCTAGTCATTCTAATAAGTGGGTCAAATTAATGGTTGGTAGGATAAATTTAGTATTTACTTATATATATATATATATATATATATATATATATATATATTCTTTTATTTATCTTTTGGCCTTTGTAGATGTTTATTTTGTGTGCATAAGATTGCAAGTGGTTCTTTGAGAAATACAACTTGAAAAGTTTAGTCTTCCTATGTAAAAAGGCTGAATTTATAGTTTATTGAGTCTAACATGCCCTCAATTTTTTTGTAAAATTGGATCTAAGAATAGATGCAAAAAAATAAATTAAACCTATTTTTTTAAGTCATTTTTTTTTTTTTTGTTGGTTTTGACTTTTTTTTAATAAGAATACAAGTTGGTTGGAAAAAATTGATGGTATACTTTCTCAAACATTTAACTATGTCAAATTTTACTTTTTATCATTAAAAAAATTATAAATATTTCATTCAAATATTATTTTAATTTTTTAAAAATTCTTGATGTATAATTATCAGATTTTATATTAATTAGAAATAATAAAATATATAGATCTTATAATAAGTTGATTCTAAATTGGTCTTATTTTCTTGGGTATAATAATTATTATTTTTAAGTTATTAAAAAAATTGATGTAAAGTTGAGATTTCAAAAAATTTAAAATTTAACACCAAATTTAATATATATAAGATTACTTTAGATAATTTTAATTTTAATATTTATAATTAAAAATATATATATTAAATAAATTATAGGATAATTTATTTCTTAATTGCAATAAATAAAAGACATTGTTAAATTGACCCTCCTATCATAACCATCATTAGAAAAATATATCATCTCTATAAACCATCATTAGAATTATAGTCTTCATTTCTATTTCTATATAAATAATAAGTATGATTTATTTATTTATTTATTTTTTGTACATTTGAAAACTATGTAAGAAATGGAGGCACTCAGGTAGGTCGCCATTGTTATTTGGAGAACAATTAAGACAAATGAATTTGATATAAATTTTATAGAGTAAGGCACAAATTCAATTATATTGCTCCTTCACAAATTTCAAAAGTAATGGTACTTTTGGCACAATCAAATTCATATGGTTGGCAAAAGTTAGATTTCATGGTGCATTATTTGTCAATTGGATGCTTTGCTGAACATTGAACTTTACACTTCATTTTGCATGGTAGGAGAGATAATTAAACAAGTTATTGGAGAAAAACATGTTTGTAATTGAACTTGTAATAGGCACCATCGTTGCATGAGACATGAGCTTGAATTGCATTGCAACTGTAGTCTAATTACTAGTTCCATATCCTATAAGCTTACTAAGTTGCAACATTGTCCAAAATCTTTGAGAAGCTTTTAAAGAAGAATGCTAGATTATTCTCTTGTAATCTACTTGTTTATATAAGAGATTGGATTGCTGTCAAGTTTAACTTTAGGAACACATTTTTGTGCCATGTATTTTGTAATTTTGCACATAACTGTACACAAAAGATTTTTCATAATTGTTGATAGGCAATTCATGGTAGACACCTTGATTTAAAAAGCTTGTGGTTCATGCAAGGTATCTCATTCTTTGAAAATAATTTTTAGTATATCTGGAATTTTATGTTTCTCTATTTGTGAGCTAGGAATATATTATGTGCTTTTGCAAAAACAACTCAAAACTCACCTTCACATCCAAAGGTGGTCTCCTTTATGAAATTTGGCAAATTTCTTTTTCTTTCAATATAGTTTAGTCATCTCATTTTCTTGGCTTTAGCATTTGTATTAAATATTATGCATAATTCATGAGCCTAGTAGTAGAGAAAAGGACTTCAAGTGAATGATAACTATCATTAGAAAAATAATTATTATTATTAAAAAAATAGATTATCTCTAAAAACTATCATTAGAATCATGGCCCTCATTCCAATTTTAATTACAAGTTTGGAACTATATAAGACTAAATATAGAATATATAAATACAACTTTATTGATGCAACATAGTTTGTTTTTTGTATATTTGCTAATATATGCTCTAAGATCTAGTCTTTTAGAAATAAACTTTTTTATACAAGATTTTAATATGATTAGAACAATTCAACAAGTAAATATCACACTACAAAGAAAATTTAGCTAATTGCAACAAATAAAGAATCATTCAAATCAAATATAACTAATTTAGATATTCAAGCAATAAATATGATATTAAAAAAATTCCAAATAAGAAAACAATTGGCAAAATTCAAAAGACACTAATAGAAAAGTTGTAATTTAACAAGATTCAACAAAGTTACACATTCAAGTCATGAATAAATTTAAAAATATTATTGTAGAAAATAACCAATGAATTGTAATAAAGAAAGATGTATCTCAATTCAATGCGACAAGTTTATAAGCACAAGCTATAGACACAATTAGAAAACACTACTATAGTAGAGAATGACTATCAGAATTCAAACAACCTCTACAAGAAATTGCATTTAAGAACAATTCAAGAAATTGTATTCTTACTTGGATTACCTTTCTTTGGCCAATTAAATTGAATATGCAAGTTAAAAAATATTTGGATCTGCACGCATTCTTAGTTAAGATGAACATTGATTTTCAAGTTTTATCCATTCTTTTGGCAAATCTAAGAATTGATTATTGATTATTGTTATTATTCAAACCACAAATTATTACCTATTATAAATAAACTGTATATTCATATGTTTACAAATGTATGCAAATACATAAATATATTTATACAGACAAAATCCTTCACATAAAGTCCCTATGTTGACCATGTTCCTCTCAACACCACCTTACAACAGGACATCTACACCCCATCAAAATTCCCTTATCAGCTTTTATTCAGACCATCCAGTCACTCAAGTTTTTATTGGAACATGTCAAGCCTCCACAAATGAATTCTCTCAAAGCTAATTGTCTGGTTACAAGTCTCATGGTTTTCTTACAAGAAGGTCCCTTATAAAAATTCACACCCTAAATATACCAAAGTGTGAGATGTCATGGTGTCTGAAATCAATTGATCCACTTCAAATACATTCAGTAGAGTTTCTGGTGGCCAGATGGACCACTGAGTATCACCAATACTAACAAATATTGACGACCAACAAAAAACTTACTGTTAAACAAAATTCTAGCACTGCCAGTGGACCTCATTTACGTTACAAAGTCTGGTGAAAAGCTCATATCAGTCACTTCTAAAAATACACCGTTTCAGTAAATTGCATCGGGACACTATCCAAAGCTAAATCTCGCTTTTGCAAGAATAAAGCAGCAGTATTGAGTGTAGTATTTGTTCACATGAGAATCACTTTCACTTGCGCAAACCATTATCAGACTCACGATTATTCTAAACGAGTCCAAACTGTGCGCCCCTTGTTGATTTCTTGGCCATCCTGATTTCTGATGACATGTATAAACCGTTCCTCCGACGACTCCCGACTGTCTTCATTGTTGCCAAGCTCTGCCTTTGCCCTAGATTCCACAGTGTCGCCTTTTTGAACCTCCCGGCGATATTCAAGTGTGATCTTGCGTATCTCGTGAGTTGCTCTAAATTCAAGGGGTAAACTCTGCATGATCAATCAGGTACCTCAGAGATTACACCAGTATATTTTGGAGGTACATGCTCGTATGCATCACATTTCTCAGATGATCACTAGCAAACATTCAACAGACATCTTACCAGCATGAAACAACAAGCGAATTCTATAAAAAATGCGGAATTTGAGGCACACCTCACACTCTTCAGAGGCTTCTGGGATTGAGCCAAAGAAGTTACGTGAAAGCCTTGAAATTTGGATTCAACACAATGACCGAATAGGATGTACGCACCTCTATTGTCCAGCTAATGTACTTGACGTTGTTGACATGCTGGTTCATATCCAGATCTCTCTCTGTTGGCTGAAATACACAATCAACTAGTTAAATACCCTGGGTGTCACCAAAAGTGTGAAAATTCAGACTTCATGTGCTCCAATCTTCATTTAAGAAGAAGTCATTGCCACAAAAAAGCATTGAATTGGATTAGATCTTCAGATGGTATGTGCGCATAAGAAAAAAAACGAGTGAAACAAAAATTATGAAATTCTTACATAAAGTCCAGTTCTCTGGAATTCTGCATCTCCATTAATTTTAGGAATACGTCCAGAGCTTGCTTTAATTCGATCTTCCGATAGAGCCCATCTGGATGCAAAATGTTAGACGAATTGGTTAACTCGCATGAGGGATAGCAGAATCCAGTCACTATGCATCGCGAGCTGCAATTAAAAACGCAAGATGGAGTTGTCTACCCTTAAGGCTTACATCGGAGGATCCCTTGCCCACGGAGCATATTCAGCCCGTATCGAATCCGTAATCCGCTGAATAACCTTGGTGTCCATATTCATCATAACCCAAGTACTGGCAACAAAACAGTCACGATTAGTCCAAAAAGTACAAATTTTACGTAAAAGTAGTTTCAGGGTTACAATCATATCTGCAAACTGGATGAAATGACAAACATCATCAATTCACCATACGCCAGTTGATCATTTTCCAATCCCGCAGACACTGCCTTCGGACTGAAAACACTGAAAATCCGCGAAAGCGTCCGCACTAACAGAACAAACCGGAGTGTAATTCGATTACACCGAGGGCCTGGTTAGCTTCACCAACGACAGCAGTTCCTGAGACTTTCAGAATGGTAATCAGAAGGCAAAGAGTGATGTAACACCTTGTAGCAAATGCAATGATTTCGCCGGATTTCACATCTTTCACCGTCCAGTCCCTTCTAACAGCATTTCTCCCCTCCGTGCAATACCAAGTGTCAATTTCCAAAAGGTCTTGCCTGCATGACGTGAAAACTCTATCAAAATCAAGAATCTTGTGAGTATGTTAGAACTGTCAACGATGATGAGGGGTTCATTGAGCCAATTTATGTTTGTCCATACCGACCGTTAAACACACTTCAAAAAGCCTAAGAAATTGTAATTAATCAAAAGCGTCAGTGAGAGTAATACCACACAGGATATCGATCAACTTCGATATGCATTCGTGTTGTAACAGTAATAAGCCGATCGTCCCTTCCCGCGAAGGCTCCATAACCAATCTTAACAACATGATTGCACGCAGCTTCCTGAATTGGTGGATTCAACAAGAAATGAGTGGCCGAGCAAAGACTCACAAAAACGGTCCAGGAGAACACAATAAGCAAGGGCATAAAGTAGTAAATGCCAAAAAACAAAGATATTGAAATAGTAGCCTTCCTCTCTGTACACAATTAGTCAAATCGGGGTTACGTTTCAAAAACACATTTATTTTATCAGCCATTGAGGGCTTCTGTATAAATAATTGCACCTGCAGTAACGAAGCTAGCATCTCCAGTGACATAGTCCCTCGATCACCGACTTCTGAGAAACGCACAACAAAGCGTTCCCTGTAAAAGTTCTCCTCATCTACATAGCCATAGCCTATGTACGAATTGGTCGGCGTGCTTTCAATCCGTAAACCCGCTGGCACTGTGTGTGCACCATTCCGCGGCTCTGTTACAGAAGATTCCGCCACCATCCCCTCCCGCACAGCGCGCACCTTCATGCTGACGCTGGTCGATAGCTCCATCGGCCGGTTGGACCAGCATTGCAAGTTCTGTCCACGAGGCAACCGCACCTTACGCTGCACCCGGGCTACCCGTCCTTTCTTCCAGCATCCCACATCACAGACTCCAGACAAGCCATACATCTGCTGCTGCATCAACGCACTCCCCGAATCCATTGTGATCCGTTCTTCTTCACAGCTGACTATCCCGCCCTGATGAAACAGCTCCCAACCTGCAAGGCGTACAACTGAACCACGAATTAACAATGCAGCTTCCGATTCTCAGAATGCCGGTTCGCCTGTAATGCAACAATAATATTGAAGGATTAAGGAAAAACTAATGGCGATGTGGTATAGGTCTTCGTCCATGATGAAGGCAGTCAGGGGAAGAGGCAGTCGTGGCGGCTGGACTAAAGGTAACCAGAACAAAGACCAACAGGGCCACAAACAATCAAACACGACCACTAATGCGGCTTGATTCGTCTTGTGACCTTTCAAGCCACTACAAATTTGTAACTACACACAAGCTTTCCGTCCTGGAAACATTTCAGTATATCGTACCTCCAGCGATACCATAAGACTACGCAAAGCGTCCACCTGCTTGCTCACGAACGCAACTACAGACGTCCGTTAGTCAACCTAGAGAACAGCGAGCTGCAGCTTGCAACACGGTACACGCTCCATCGTCTCGGCCGTGCAGGTAGCCCGCCCTGCCGTCATCGCTGCTCGAGATTAGATCACTAGGAGAATGAAAGCCCAGACGTGCACACCACAATAAATCACGAAGCAAGGTGACGTTCGCCGACGACGTTTGGGAAAACTCCTCGTCTCAGCAGCTGCAGCCCGCTGATCCCAGCCTCCCGGCCAACTACGCCAAGACGAAACGCACTCGAAAGCAGCAGAGCGGAACTGAATCTAAAACGCAATCTGTGTTCCAAATCGCCCAGAGGGAGGTAAAGGGCGACACCACGCCGATTGACTGAGGGATCACGACACCACGCCGATTGTGCCGGCGCCAGGGACTTGTCTCATCACCAAAGGCTGGGGATCTCACGCCCAATGAGGTGGCGACCAGTGTGCCTGCGACCAGAATCGTCCGAGAGCATGTACACACGAAGCATGCTTTCGGCGAGCTGCTATCCGGATCTCGAGACGTTAGTTTCCTCGTGGCCTCACTGGAATCTTCCTTGCTGGACTTCTCGCTGCTCTGGTCGCTTCCGCCAACTCCATGTCCAATCCTAGTTCCACTCTCGCAGGTCCCCTCCGCCTGCCATAGCATAAAAATAAAAATAAAAAATCACCGGCCATGGCCCTCCAGGCCTGTATCACATTGCACACTAGGCCCCTACCTACAGCCAGCCTGCCTATTAGCTCCATTGCAAAGGCCGAACGAAGGCTCTCTTCCACACACACGGTCTTCCCCGCCCGCCTCTTGGTAGGGAAGCTCCCTAGCTGTCAATCGGGGCCAGGAAACGACCCATTCCACACGCGCGGCTGCAGGTGCTTCGAGGAGGTTCCCTGTGAAGAGGATGATTCTCAACCACATACAGAGTGAGCAGGGGATTCATGGCTGTTGTTGAAGTCGATTAGAGCCCGCTGTGGATGTAGCTGATGGGAAGAAATAGGATGAAACTATTCTTTCAAATCTCCGAGTTGATAAATTATGAAATTGATGGTATTTTTATTTTTATTTTAGGGGTTTGAGTATTGATAAAGAGAGTTTGATTCGTTTTTCCCCTCTCTCTTTTGTGTTTTTATTTTTATTTTTATTTTAAAAAAAGTTATTTCCTACTTCTCTTGTTCTTATTGATTTTTTATTTTTTATTTATTTTATTATATTGTATGCGCTGTGATTTGCATTTTGAAACCTTTTTCATGGGTTGATTGTTTGCATTGCTACACTATGTGTGAGGCCAAATTTCACCACTTGATGAAACCTATGCCACACAACAAGTCCAAAAGGTGGAATTGGAGAGCTCCCAATTGTGTAATTGTTAGATTAATTTAAATCTTTATATTAAAAATTCAATTAGTTTTAGGCCTTCCAAGCAATGGTTACCAACATTAAATTAACATGTTAAATAAAATTTACTATGCAAAAAAGTTAAGTTAAAAAAAATTAAAGTTAAAAATTAAGATTAAAAGGTTAAGTTAAAAGTTGAAATTAAGAGGTTAAGTTAAAAGTTGAAATTAAGAAGTTAAGTTAAAAGTTAAAATTAAAAGGTTAAGTAAAAAAGTTAAAATTAAAAGTTTACTTTAAAAGTTAAAGTTAAAAATTAAAGTTAAAAGTTAAAGTGAGAATATCAAAGGTTAAAAGTTAAACTTAAAATTTATTAGCCAAAAAGTGAAATGTGGAGCTTATTGTTGAGAATGTTTAGAAAGATACAACAGTAATAGTTGTCACGGCCACAATCATGTAAGCTAATAATTACATATAGAAATAGGTAGAAGTAAGTAAAAGTAGATAAAAGTAAGTTAATTCTATAATATTTAATATAAAAGCTTCCTAGAAACTTCCTAGACGCTGCTTTGACTTCATAGGTGTCTTTAATTGACTTTTTGGATTAGAAACGTGGTCAACAAGTTAGCCATGTGCCACACATGTTGTTAGCTTGAAGATCAAGCTAACTATGTGGCCCACACGTAGAAAAACTTGCCTTGTAAGTCAAGGCACGTGTCCTACAAAGTCAACACATATTGGAGGTCCTATAGAACGTCGCCAAGTAGCCCCTAATTAGATAGTATATATAGAGACAAGAGTGAAGGCTTCTTCACTCTTGTCAACTCCTTTCTTGCTTCTAGTCTAGTTTCAACGGTCTCTAGTTTTTCTTGTCTTTTGGCAATAGCCATTCCAGTTTCTCTTTCAATATATATACTTATTTATATATATTTTGTTACCTCTCTTTGAGTGAAGGCTCACTTGACTGAATTGTTTTTTCATCGAGTTCTTGTCCTTGACAGATTGACAAGAGTGTACTTACAATATCAGAGCTTTGTTTTTCTTGAGTAAGAGTGGATTACCCCTTTCTCTTGACAAGGCATAAGCGTATTAGAAGTTTGCGGATTACCCACTTCTAAACTGATATTGTTCTTAGTATCTTCTTTGTTATCAAGTCTTTCTTTTCTTTTGTCTTGAGCAATATCAAACAAATTTTTCTTCTTAGTGTCATTATGGCAGAGCTTGTTGAAATGAAGAGTGCAATGGCACAAATGCAAGAGCATATGAGGGAGTTAATGCTTGCGATGCATCAACTCAATTCACCAACACAGGAAAGAACAAGAATAGCAGAAAGAGGGGATATAGAGATGATCGGAGCTGCTTCAACATCTACAACAAATCACGTTCCTTTTCCAATTGTACAACACCCTATAAGCACTAGAGAACCAAGAATTGCCTTACCTGAGAAATTTGATGGTACGAGATCAAGGTTTCGAGGATTCATCAATCAAGTACATTTGGCAATTGAACTTCAACCACAAAGCTATTCAACTCCAGGATCATAAGTCAGATTTATTGGCACTCTACTTTTTAGTTCTGCATTATCGTGGTTTTCGTCTTTTCTTGAACAACGAAATCCAATATTGGATAATTTGGAAGCTTTTTTGGTGGAGTTTCGATCTATGTATGGTGAACACGATGCAACTCGTGTTGCAACAAATAAGATCCGAATTCTACGACAAAGAAATCGCTTAGTAATAGTATATGCTTCACAATTTCGACAACTTGCAATTGACATCAAGTGGGATGATGCTGCACTCATCAGTCAATTTCTTTATGGATTGCAATACGAAGTAAAGAAATTGATGCTCAACTTACCTGATCCTCAAACTTTGAGTCAAGCAATCGATTTTGCGGTAAAATGTGATAATCGACTTTTCGAATTTCGATCCGAGAATCATTCACGGGAACCTCAACGTTATTACTCAATGGCAACATCAACATCTTTGCCAAACGTATATTCGGAAGTAGAAGACATGCAAATTGACGCGGTACGTTTTAAACCCCTAACTGAGCAAGAAAAGATTCGTCGTCGTCAAGAAGGATTATGTTTATATTGCGGAGAACCTAAGCACACTGCTCAACATTGTCCAAAGAAACGACGCAACTATAAAATGAGGGGTACGATGGTCAAAGAAGACAACATGTCGGAAAACGGATTCGTCCAGCTACAATAGGGACCGTGCAGCTGGAACCTTGTACAATTCCTAATGAAGGTCCTATCCTCTCCTCAGAACCCTCTCCTTGTTTTATAATAGACTTATATTTAGGACCTAAGAATTACAAAGCCTCTGCTTTATTAGATTCGGGAGCCTCAGCATGTTTTTTAGATGAACAATTTGTTAAAAGTCGTAAAATACCCTTTGTACAGAAACCTAAACCAGTACATGTAGAAGTCATAGATGGTCGTCCCTTGTCTTCTGGAGATGTCACTCATGAAACTCATCCTATAAAAGTAACAATAGACGGTCATGATAGCTACATAGCTTTTAACATAATTAAATCCCCGTCCAATCCAGTTATTTTAGGTTTATCCTGGCTAGAAAAATATAACCCTTGAATAGATTGGAATTCGCATAAACTTGACTTTTTCCAAAGCGTTATTAATAGTTCTACCAACGAAGTAAAAAATTATAAGTCTAGTATAGTAAAACCCGTACTGATAGGTGCAAAAGCATTTATACACGCAGCAAAAAAAAGATCAACTTTTGCTATTTATGCTGCACCTATTTCTGAAAACGTAAAGACTTCCAGTGGCATTCCAAGTCAATATCAGGAGTATCAAGACGTTTTGAGAAAAAGAATGCAGATATTCTTCCTGAGCATCGCCTATATGATTGTTCAATCGACCTCAAGGAAAGAACTCAGCCACCATTTGGACCAATTTACAGTTTATCGTAAGATGAGATGGCTGAACTCAAGACATATATTGACGAGAATTTAGCGAAGAATTTCATACGCCATTCAAAATCTCCAGCAGGAGCTCCAATTCTATTCGTAAAGAAAAAAGATGGATCTTTACGAATGTGTGTTGATTATCGAGGACTCAACAAGATCACAATCAAGAACAGGTATCCATTACCTTTGATATCAGGACTCCTTGACCAGTTGAATCAAGCTAAGATCTATACAAAAATAGATCTAAGAGGAGCATATAATCTAGTACGGATCAAAGAAGGAGATGAATGGAAGACTGCGTTTCGAACCAGGTATGGACATTTCGAATATAATGTCATGCCCTTTGGACTCACGAATGCACCAGCTGCTTTTCAACATCTCATGAATGATGTATTTCGTGAATTCTTAGACAATTTTGTCGTCTACTATCTAGACGATATCCTGATCTATTCTAAGAACATCGAAGAACATGAAATACATGTTCGTCAAGTATTACAAAAACTTAGAGATGCAGGATTGTACACCAAGATGGAAAAGTGTGTATTTCACACTACTCAAGTTGACTTTTTAGGATACATCATTTCAAATGATGGTCTCATGATGGATTCTAAGAAAGTCCAAACAATCATGGATTGAAAGATTCCAAGGACCTACACCAGTCTTATATCGTGTTGACTTTTCCAAGGTATTTTTTATGGAAACAAATGCATCAGATTTTGCCTTAGGTGTAGTTTTATCACAAATGGGAACAGATGACAAACTTCATCCGATAGCTTTTCATTCAAGAAAATTCTCAGCAGCCGAGATCAATTATGAGATCCACGATAAAGAACTTCTTGCGATCGTGGATTCCTTTCAAGAATGGCGTCATTATCTAGAAGGCGCTTCTAGTCCAGTCATTGTGTATACAGATCACAAGAACCTCGAGTATTTCATGTCAGCACGCGTGTTGAATCGTCGTCAAGCTCGTTGGAGTATGTCTTTATCAAGATTCGAGTTCATTATCACTTATCGGCCAGGAAAACAACAAGGTTTGTCTGATGCCCTATCTAGACGTTCTTATTTTGCACCAAAAGAAGGAGATGCAGCTTTTGAGC